TTTATTATATTTATTTATTGTTATTTTTGTTTTTTTTTTTAACTACTTTCATTATTATAGGAATATTCCAATTGTGTAATTTATTCTTACCAATTATATAATTATTATTAACTATTCTTATAGTGGTTGCATATCAGTTATACACGTATACTATATGGCATAAATAGCTGGGCTGTCCTCATCCTACCTTTATACCTTCATTTTTCCCTCTGTCTTTCTCGCGCTATCTTTCTGGGCTTTTTTCCTTCTCTCTCTCTCTCTCTCTCTCTCTCTCTCTCTCTCTGTCGCTCTATGTTTCACTCTCTCTGTCGCTCTAGGTTTCACACCCCCTCTCCCTTTTCGTAGTTGGTTTCTATCTCTCTCTCTTTCATTTTTTCTCTGCTACTCTCCCTTTTTTTTGGCATTTCATTCTCTCTGTTTTCATTCGTTTTCTTACGCTCTCACCTTTCTCTCTCTTTCTCTCTCTCTCTCTCCCTCTCTCTTTCTCTGTCTCTCTCAGACTCACTCCTTCCCTCTTAGAATCACTCTCTATATCTCCCTCTCGCTCTTTCTGATTTCTAACACTGCTCAAAGATCAATCTTTGGGAATACAAAGAATCAGCCTCAGTAAAATTTGTCCGTCTTTTTGGCTGGTCTTATTAGAATATCATTATCACTGTATTATCACTTTGCTGTCTCCATAATCATACCCTTTTCATGTTTTTGCTAGGGTATCAACACACACACGCCCAAGTTGCTGCAAATGTAAGCCAAGTTAGCAGTGGGAGCTGCCAAGTTGCAGCACTCCGCCGCTGCAGCTTAATCCGCAAGTGTTAACAGGCGCCGTCTTGCGTAACCAAGCAATCGACTGATTGACTGACTGGCCAAGAGCCACACTGGCAGCATTGTCGGTCAAGTTTCAGCTTGAGACTGAGTGAACGAGCGATCGACTGATTGTGTCAGTTCTTGTCAGCAATAAGCCGTTATTAGACTCAATTGTGTGGCTAACGGCAAGCACAGCTAGAGCAACTGGCCAACTGGCCAACTGACTCGTTCTCGATATAGATAAATAGCCATGATCAGTTCTCCTAGACATTTACTCAATGCTCATGGAATTGAAAGTCAAGCAGCACATCAATATCAATCTGATCTGAATTGGCCTGGCCAAAATGCGTGGATAGCGCAACGTGCTCCATGGAGCGCAACTCACGCATTTGACAAATGATTGGCCAAACTATTGCCCAAAGTTGAGTTATTAAACTGAGCCGCAAATTGTGTTAATTGGACAAATCAACAACAGCAAAATTTGTGTGTGGAAATGCGAGCTGATGATGCTCATGATCGCAGCACTAACTGCGGCTAAGGCGTGGCCGTTGACTGAGTTGTAGCTGTAAGCCAAGTTGGGAAGATGCGTCTTAACGAGCTGTTAATAATTTGTTAAAGAGGGAATGTAAAATACTTAGTTACAGTTTTTATATGATACCAATTGCATGATTATAATGATGATTATGATATGATTAATTTGCTTGCTTGTTGGGTTTTGCTCAAGTCCTAAGGCTGAGTTATATATACGGATATTATTAATTATAATATAATGATATAAATATATAGGTAGACATAGATTATAGCTCTTATAAGCCGATGTTACATATATTATTTATATATTTATATATATACTAAATAAAAACAATTATTTTTTTTAATTATTAGAGAAGACCGTAAAGGTTATCTCAAATATACTGCATATGAATATATAATTTCCCTGTGAGAAGTTTATCACTCGAGTCCAAATACTCGTCTCTGAGTTAGAGTATACACATCCATATACATATATATGCATATGCTAAAAACTACTTCATATATCAGTTTAAGTATTATTTTGCCTAACACTTAGCCCCGTGCAAATTGCTAAACTGCTTAACAGCTGCTGACGGGTCTTGGGTTCGAGCCTTAACCTAAGACACAGAGCGGAATGGAGCGAATGTGGCTAAACTGACGCCGATTAAGTAATTGATATGCAAAAGCTAACTGTAACGCATACCAGACGCGAGGCACGCCAGCCAGCCAGCCAGCCAGGCGGGGCAGACAAGCGAAGGCACAGCGCCTAAGTTAAGAGGAAATTACAGGTGCGAAAGTAACGGCCACTAAAATGGAGAATTTCATAACTTTTCATAATTGCAAACAGAGAGGAAAAGCAAGAGCGTTGGAGTGAGAGGGAGAGTAGAGTGAAAGAGCGAGAGTGAGTGAGTGAGAGAGAGAGAGAGAGAGAGACAGAGGCAACAGCTGAGCTGCAACTGGTTTGGTTGCTTTTAAAACTATTGCACACACACACACACATATATATCACACACTCACTCACACACACACACTCTTAGAGCTGGGTAGGCTCGGCTGCGCCCTCTACTTGACCATATTGCCTCACTTTCACTTGTCTTTGGCTTCTTTTGCTTCCGCACGAAACTTGGTCAAAATGCAAAGCAAACTTGGCCACCAACCAACTCGGCTCGAAGAGCGTCGCTGGTTGCCGTTGTTGTTGTTGCTGTTGTTGTTTTTTAGCTTTACACTTTAATTTTGTCATCCTCTCTCTCTTCGAGTTGTAGTTTTGTGTTTTGTTTGCTGCGCTTTGGCGGCCCGCTGCCGCATTAACTTGGCTCAGTCACTCGAAGACTTTAAACGCACCAAGTTGCCTCGTCGTCTGGCCTCCTCCATCCAGCATGAATCTGCGCTACGTTTGCACCTTGTCGCTGCTGCCCACGCTCTATGTGCTGCTGGTGCTGCTGCTGGACTATGTGGAGCAGGGCTTGGCCCAGAATCCGGATCCGCTGTTCGAGCTGCCTGTGCAGCTGGTCGGCTTCCCAGTGATCGTCCTGTCCGTGCGTCTCTCGCAGTTCGCCAAAAAGCTGGCCTACTCCCTCAATCCGAGTAAGTTGAACACGTTTGGGCGTAAAAGTGCAACAGCCGCCCTGTGCCATGATGAATCACCTCTTAATTTCTTTTCATTAAGTGAAAGTCAAAATATGTGCATAAATTAATAATTGGCCGGTATTCAAAGCAGCTTAAGTAGCTGACTCTGTGTGGTGCCGAAAACCAATTAATCATGATGACGAATTGAGTTGTGGACATGGAAAGAAATATTTTGTACATCTTATGTGGGTAGAGTGAGTTTTAAGCCTGCCCTGGAAAGGGCAGAACAGCCTTGGAAATTGTATAATTAAACAATTTTGTCTGAATGGCATTTAGTCTCATAATATATAATTATTATGCCATGGCATTTCTATACTATTCTATGAAGTGAAAAGATTTTATTTTCTAGTTTGTGTTGAAGATCTGTACTCTTCTACTATTCAAATCCTATATTATTTCTGATGAGATATCGGCTATGGAATATTTTTAAAAAGCTAAGCGATTCGTATGAAAATATGGATAATGTGAACCAAAGTGTATAAAATACCAAGAAAAATTTATATTATAATATTTATATAGAAATTGCTTTAAAAAAAAAATTTATTTTTCATGGCTAAACTTTCA